TCATATCACTAGAAAGCTAATATTATTTAGAAAATAACTATAAAATTAATTTTGTACTTAAATAATTTTTTAAATGCTAATCTAAACAGGAAAGTTGGAGCATACCTGAAGAAAAAGAAAATAATCTCCCTTTGCAAGAAAACGCCGAGCAATGTTGGAGGAAGAGAGAAAAATAATATAAAAATAAGATTGTGGGTCCCACAATTAAAAAAAACTATAGGTTTGAATTTAATTATTCAAACTTTTGGGCCATTACATGCAATTTTCACAAATATCATCTTGGGCCATTAGTTGCAATTTTTACAAATTGCAAAAGCTTTTCTTTTTGCTTTTGCTTTCCTTCTGATGCTCCTTACGCATGCGCCTCCTCCTTTTATACGTGAGGAGGCGCCTCACCTTCCCACATGTAACCGATGTGGGACTTCTACAGTCCTTTCTTTTTTTTTTACTTTCTTTTCTTTTCTTTTCTTTTTTTTAACTCACACACGCACATAATAATTTTTTTTCTAAATCTTAAAACTATATCTTAACAAAATATTTCTTATATAATTTTAAACCTAAGTTTTTAATTCATAGTTAAATTTCTAACCATATTATTATTTCTGAATAATCTCAAATAATATAAATTTCTATTATTAACTTAAATTCCATAAATTTTTTTTATCTAAAATTAGGATGTTACAACTTTCAGGTGAGAATATATCACAAACATTTTTTCTTGCAATCGTCTTTAACTAGCCGTCCTCCCAGGAGGCCACGAACAAGGAGGATGGGGTCTTCCAAGATAAAAAGATTTATTATTGTTTGAGATGTGGAAAGGCCGGACACAGTCATAAGACATGTAAGAATCCTAACCCAGCATGAGAACTAGTTACCTTGTACTTCTTTGGTGTACACAAGCAACTATAATTATGTATATGAAAGCATTTCCAAATAATATTTTTTGGATAAGTGAGAATCACAAATATTTTTTGTTTGTATATGGAGAAGCAACTGTTAGATATTTTAAATATAGTGGCTAACTTTTTGTATATATCAAACTTGAAATATTGTGTCAAATTTCATGTGGGTACTTGTTTTAGTATCTAGGTTAATACCAACATGAAATTACTCATATATAATGTAATTGTCCTTCTTAATATTGTAAATGTATAGACTTTCTGTTGAGCATGTGTGGACATCGTCTTATGCATAGTGAATGCTGTGTCGTGCATGGTTTGCCTAACGTCATTTTGTTATAGCCTAAATTAGTGAAATACTGAAAATGTATGAATTTTTTGTTTAGCACACGTGGATATCGTATTATGCATAGTAGATGTTGTGTCATGCATGGTCTGCTTAGTCATTTTTGCTAAAGCCAAGGCTATTGAAATACTTAAAATGCATGGACTTTCTATTGAGATGTGTGGACATTGTTTTGTGCATAGTGGATGTTATATCATGCATGGTCCATTTTATTATTTTGAGAGTTCATGCAGGTTTTGAATTCAAATTAAACAAAGGGCAAAATCGTACTTTTAATCTCAAAAAAATTGACAATAAGGGCCTCAAGGCCTGCAGAGCAATATCAGATTCATTTAGACCCAAATTACAATAAAGTCTATTTTTAAGGTCGTTAATGCCATTTCCTCAAAAATTATTGTCTTCGATTTGTTAAGCAAGTTTTGGCATGGAATATTTGATTCCTTTGACTTAAAATTTAAATTTAAATTTTCATGAGTATATTAGTTATGTTGGTGGTTCTAAAATGGAAAACTATTATTTTTTATAAAGAAGACTGTTTTGATAATTTAGAATTAGTTGTTTTCTCTCATTCTATTATTTCCATATACAATTTACACACATACAAACATGTCTCGAGTGATTAGGATGTAAAAACTTGACTTGTAATTGTGAATTGTAATGTAATTAAGGATCTAGATTTTTAGAATAATTTAATTTATTTATTATATTGTAATATTGAACTTTATATTTTAAAAGAGTTGTTCTTAAAAGAAAAAAAAGTTTACAAGTCAAGCTTTGAACTCATTAAATAAGGGATAGCCAAATGGGCTACAAAAATGTTAAAATTTAAAAAAATTGGGCTTATAAGCCTGTGCCCATATGGGCCAAGCCTGTTCGTTTCTCAACTTTATGTAACACTCTAAATCTTTGAACTTATTTTTCACAAACTAATAAGTTATTAAATTAATTAAATAATATTGAATACTTATCATGATAGAAAAAAGATTATTGTAGTAATTAAAGAATAAAAACTCTGTTTTTAAAACCCTATCGTGATAGAAAAGAGTTTGTCATTTACATAAATTATTTTGCAAATAACTACCATGATAAAAAAAATTAACATAATAAATAAACTCTACTATAGTCATAAAATGATAATAATATCAAATGTAACTATTAGAATTCCATTTCGCAAACCAATATTTAAAAACTAATATCTATTTCAAAACCACAACTAGCACGGAAGCATGTTATTTTAGTGTGGCATAATCCTAAACATGTCCTAGCAAAACTTATAACATATTAATGTAACCCAAGTGTCCACACCAAATGATGTACAATAAATTTTATTTAATCATAATACTTTTCAAATCGTAATCTGCTTAATAATACCCAAATTGTTCTAAGATATACAATTGTCCACAACATAATTACCTCTATCAACATACCTTAATACTCTTCGATCCTATTTATAAGTTACTTTTAATATATTTTACTAATACAAAAAAAATCTTAAAATTCATTAACTCTGTTTTTGAATTTAATAAGTTATCAACTTTGTCTCTATTAAATATGCACACTTCAATAACATATTTTCTCTCTCCAACATTCAATGAAGGGTAAAAGAGAAAATTTGTGATGAAAGTTTAATAAGATGACTTATAAATGAGATTAAATTTTTTTTCTCTCTGTACCTTATAAATAGGATCAAAGGGAGTACATATTTACCAACTACTTAATACTTCTAAGCAAATTTGACCATATCATTAATGTCTCAAAAATCAATTAGGACCATAAGGAACAGACATAATCCTCATGGTCGAGCATATTAGTCAAATCTAAGACCAAGAAAGGTGGACAAAATACTTTTGGCAAATCAAGATATAATTTGATCATCAATAAAGTCTACACGCTCGTCAAAATAACAATTATCCTTGGCTGGCAAGATATATATTGCATATTCAAATTAAAGAGGCTATACTAATAGATATTGTCTCATGCAACAAATTATGCCTTTAGTGCTCCTCCAGTTACACTTGCTCTTATAAAAATGTTAACCACGAGGATAAGACACGAAAGGTCCTAGAAACAAAATACTACAATACATGCAAAGTAATTAATTATGTGATTCTTAAGTAGGCATACAAAATCAATTTTCATATATATATGATATGTGTACAACCAAAAAAAAAAAACAAACATGCATGACAATAACTTACATCTCTTTGTACTTCATGTTCGACACAAAGTCATTTAGCCAAAAGTGAGTTAGTCAAAGTTACTAGCCATTCATTGAGTTCAATAGATTCTTACCATGATGCAAATCTCAACCAAAAAAAATCCTTACCAAACAAGTTTAAAATAACTTGACCAGTCATGTATTCTAAATCCAGACGTAATCATATTTCTAATCCAATTCATAAGAAATATATCTCCAAACATAAATACTCAATTCATATCAACATATATTTACTTACATATTGAATAACCCACTTAGCAATTAATTTTTTAGACAACAAATATACATTTTTCAAATGTAATATTTTTCAAGCAATATAATATTTCATCAAATTACACATAATTAACCACGGAGCACCAACTATAATAAATTAATAGGGGTTACATTTGCTTCAAACAATCAAAGTCCTCCAAACAAGCGATTCCTCACTACTCTTTTTGTCAACATCATCTACACAATTATTTCATAATACTAAAAATTAATTTTTCATTAAAATTAATAAAATAACTCTAATTTAAAGAGTTAGAAAGTTCAAGTCTAACCTACAATTAATACTAAATCTTAGTGCCCATTTTAACTATCTATAATTTTTTACAAAATTTCCTTACGCCTATAAACCTCAATAAATGCTCCTATCACTTCCAATATCAATATTTCATTATTGCATATTCAAAAATTCGTTTAAAAATACCTCTAAAAGCAAAAAATTGTTCTCAAGCATTACATAATCATTCTAACAACTTACACACATTTATCTAAACAACTAGGCATCTAAAAACATCTCAATAATTCGAATTAATCCTTAGATTCAATCTCAAAGGCTTAGAATTTTACCCAAAATTTCCAAATTTAAATTCTAACCTCAAATAAATGTTTCATATCAATTATTTACACTCTCAATAACGTCAATAAACATAATAAATCATCATGTGTTTAGGTTATTTATCCCATATGAAAACCCTAATCTGTTAGTAATCCCAAATCACAAAGAAAACCATCCCAAAGTCATCGAAATCTTTTGTCCTAGCAGAGCCTCGCTGGTGCTTCCTCTAATCGTGTTCTAATTAAAACGCGGACCAGGGACGCCTTTTAATTTGCTCGTCCAAGCACAGTCGAGACAAGCTTATCCATGTCTGCAAGAGGACGACGTTAATTGAAACGACTGCGTTCTGGTCCTTCGTCTATGTGCAATTGAGCAGCGCTCATCATTGCATGATTTTGCGTAAGGTGGCCCAATTCTACCCCGTTGGGCCTCAATTCAAATCCAATTACCTATTTTGAATCCCATTTAGTTTCCTAAATGATTTTTTATCAAATAAAAATTATTAAAAGTAGGATATTTTAGGAAAATCAACGCACATTTCTTATCACTGAAGAATATTCCATAATGTTTTTTTAAATGGTTTTTTATCATAATTTTTATAGTACAAAACCTTCAGGTCGAAAAACAGAAAAAAGTCAAGAACAGGAGCACAAAACCAGTTATGGACGAGAATACGAGGCAAACGACCCGGTTAACATTCGGTCACGGGGCGATCCGCCAAAAATATCCGATTCACTATTAAGCCGGAAGACCCAAGACCCAGTCCAATCCCAATCCCACAATCCCGATCGAATTCACCCTAGAGGAATCGTGCGCAGAGTGCCTGTCCTACTCTGAGACACGAGAAGGTGCCGAGCCGCGCGAGCTTGAGAGGTAGAGGGATATAGAGAGAGAGATCTGCGCTCTAGGGTTTTGGTATGTCCTGATTTCCCAAGGTTAGTGAGTGTGTAATCCAAAGATTTTCTTGTATTTTATCGCTTTTCTTTGAGCTGTAATTCAATCGCTGTTGAACTCCAGGCTCCAAAGGTGATTTTCATTTGGTATATGATGACGAAATTTGTGTGTGAGAAAGAAGTGTGCTTATTATGTGCAGGGGGCGAGTGTGAGAGATTTAGAGAGAGAGGGGTGAGAACGCTGAGTGCTGAGCTGAGAGAGAAGGTGGAGAGAATTTTTCTGTTTTTTTTATGTTTTAGGGATTTCTCTCCCTGCTGCCGTTGGTTCCCTTTCCTTGCATCTTGTCGAAGTTCCTCATGGAGCAGCGTAAACTTGTGGTTAGTCATTGTCATTCGATTTGTTTGGATTTATTTGTTTTCCTTGTTACCCGTAAATTATGATGATAAACTTTTTTATATCTTTCATCTTTTTAAATCTATGTTTCCTTGATTAGTTAATCCTTTCCTGTAATCATATAACTGCATCTCAGGTTTTGGGTATTCCTTGGGAGGTCGATACTGAGGGGTTGAAAGAATATATGAGCAAATTTGGCGATTTGGAAGATTGCGTTGTTATGAAGGTCAGCCCCCTGTTACATGAACTAACCCATGGAATGTTTTTTTGAAATGGGATAATCAATAGCATTTGTTTATTTTGGAATCTGGGTGGGGCATTATCTCACCAATAATTATTGTGCTATTAAAAGCAAGTTCCGTTAACCTTGCACTGTCTTACAATGATACAATTCTTGTCTAATAGAATTCGGGTCTCTCAGTTCAAGAAAAAACACTAGCAATCTGATAAACAAATTGTCCCCTTGCTTGTGACATGAAGGTCCTGGCTGTAAATTTTAGAAGATAAATTTTAAATTTTATGTTTTCTACTGCATTGTACCTGAATTCTATCTGATGTGTACACTAATGTATCTACTTTCGTGTAATGCGTGCTCTATTTTCTTGTAAAGCCAGGCTAGAAATCCTATTCTGATCATTTGGTTTCATCTAATGATTAAATACTTGCACTTCCTTGGCGATTCATTGATTCATTTGTGTTAGTTGAAACATTGAAGAATGAAACTTAAATGCCCAACCTTGCTGTCATAGAAGATGTGAAAAGATAAGTTGGTCTTAAGCTTTATGGTTTTAGTGGTAAGCAATGAAGTATAATTGTCTTATAGAGGGTTAATTGGAATATCCAGAGTTATAGATCAACAAATTGGTTGATTGATCATAAAAATAGTCTTTATTATATTGAAATTTTCTGGAGCTGTAATATTATTTCTGCATTTTAGGAGAGGTCAACTGGCCGGTCTCGTGGTTTTGGATATGTTACATTTGCTTCAGTTGATGATGCTAAGGTAATGAACGGTTTTCCATATGTTCATATATATATATATAGCTGGTGATGCATACGTGCTGAATCTACAGTCTGACAACTTTATGGCTGCAGAAAGCATTATCAAGCGAACATGTTCTTGGCAATAGGATGCTCGAAGTCAAAGTGGCCACACCAAAGGTTTCCATCTAACTGATGTTTATGTTTCTAATCTTACGTTTTTTTTTTCCTAGTCTGTTGTTTGTTTTCAATTTTTTGGTTTGTTTATTTATACTACGGTCCTACTGCATGATTGATTCACCTATTCTTGATAATGTGCCTTCATGTTAAAGGAGGAGATGAGGGCACCAGTAAAGAAAGTTACCAGAATTTTTGTGGCCAGGATTCCACCATCTGTTACAGAAGCAACTTTTAGAAGGTATGGAGGTGATTTCTTCGTTAACTTGATGAGAAGATTTTGCCTTCCCTAGTCATATGCTCTTTAAATGTACCTACAATTTTTAGGAGGCAATGATAAGATCGTATTACACTCTGTCATTCCATTTTTCTTCTTGCAGTCATTTTGAGAAATATGGGGAGATAACAGATTTATACATGCCAAAGGTACTTCCGTCCCTGTGATCAATAGGCATGTGAATTACATGCATATACGTTTATGCATGCACTTTTTTGTTTGAACATTGTGTGTATTTAATTGCCTACAGGCCTTTTTTTTTTCCTCCTTTTCTTTCTTTTCCTCTTGTGTTTTGTTTTGTTTTTAGAGGATGCATCATGATTTATAAGTTATTTCACACAGGACCAGGGCTCAAAATCACACCGTGGAATTGGTTTTATAACTTTTGCTAGTGCAGGTATCTAGATTCTGATTCTCCCTCAGCTATGCTCTTAACTGTTTGCATTTTGTAAGTCTATAAAGGTACCATTTTTTACAATTAAAAATCATGTTGGTAGACCAAGAGTAATTTATTTGTTAATAAGATGGGCAACTCGCCCTTTTTTTATTTTTTGCATAATACAGAAACAGTGAGCTGGTAATTTGTGCTTTGCTTAAATGTCAGTTTGATTAAGTTGCTGCTGCTAACGTTAAGTGGAGAAAGTTGCATTATATGATATTCTGTAAATATTTTCCCCCTTTCTAGGGGGGGAATAATTGAAGATACATTGCATTTTAAGCATGTGTTATACGTACGAAATCTTTGTCTGGTCTCCTCAAGTGATGAATGTCTTATGCTGATGGTATCTCTTGAGATACCCTTTTGGGAGTTAGCGTCATCGGTAAAACTGTTATAGTCTTAATGACATTGTGGTTTAACTTTTGAATTTCTCTTTAGTCTGTCCTTAGACATATTGTTGAAAAAATGTACCTATTACTGAAAGGAGCTTTTTCTGTCAGAATCTGTGGAGAATTTAATGACAGATACTCATGAATTGGGAGGTTCTACTGTGGTGGTTGATCGAGCAACACCAAAGGTAAGATTTTGTATAGCTATGAACTGTAAAATTCTGATTAACTGTATTTTCATGGTTGGTTGGCTTCTGAAACTGCTTTGATGTGTCTTGAACAAAATGATTATCGATATTTGTGCACAAGTCCATTATTTTTCTTTGGAAGGATGTCTGCTCAGTGGTATATTCTCTGTGATTTTAGTTGATTAACTTTAATTCTGTCCTTGCAGGAAGATGATATGAGGCCTATTGGCAGAATGTCACAGGGAGGGTATGGTGCATACAATGCATATATATCTGCAGCAACTCGATATGCAGCACTTGGTGCTCCTACTCTGTATGACCATCCTGGTTCAGTTTATGGAAGTAAGCATGGAAGCAGTGTCCCATATTATTGACTAGTTATTATAAATTGCTGACTGCCTTATACTGTCAATTTATAGGGGGGGAACCTGTTCGGGGAATGGGCAAAAAAATTTTTGTTGGTCGTCTTCCCCCTGAAGCAACAGCTGATGATCTTCGCCAGTATTTTGGAAGATTTGGCCGTATATTAGATGTCTATGTTCCAAAGGCAAGAAATGTTATTAAGAAACAAGCATTTGTGAATTTTGAAATACTTATCACTTGTCTTTTTCTTTTTTCAGGATCCCAAGAGAGCAGGCCACAGAGGTTTTGGTTTTGTAACTTTTGCTGAAGATGGTGTGGCAGATCGTGTCTCTCGGAGGTCTCATGAGATTTGTGGACATCAGGTACTTCAATTTGGATTTGGTCCTATATATGCTATGCTGCCCCATGTAAATTTACAATAGTTCTCTGTTTTGTCTTTTTTCTTATGGAGGTGAATTTTAAAGAGTGCGTAAGATGATGGTGGAACGGATCTGTGTCAGGAAATAATGTTTTCCCTTTCAAGATGTCTATGCCTGTTAAAGGCATAGTTGGAAAAAGATCAGTAGAATTTTACTGCTAAACTAACTGGTGCCTTCTGTAAAAAGCGATCGAGTTGTAAAAGGGTGGAGCTTTGCATTGATTATTACCTATATGTCTATATAATAATACATCACAATTGATGATTTGCTGTATGACATTGCTAGATGTACATCAATCTTGAACGTCAATTCTTTTTGACATCACGATGTTCATTCCAGTGGTGAATCTTTTTATGGTGTATGCAGGTCACGCAAATTTATTCTTCTGAAACATGTGTTACTATAAATTCCCTATATATGTGCTTTTGTAATCTTTAGGCATGTCACATATTTCTGAGTTCCCCCCACCCACCCAAATGTGAATGCGTGGTTCGAGTTACAAGGAACTTTTGTCTGCAGGTTGCTATAGATTCAGCTACACCTCTTGATGATGCTGGGCCGAGTTCGAATTTTATGATGAGCAGTGTGGATACTTTTGGGGGATATGGTGGTCCCATGCGCACCTATGGGAGGATGTATGGCAGCCTGGACTTTGATGATGTAAGTGTATAGATCAATAATTTTATGATTGAATATACAGCTAATTATTTAACTAATGACAGTATTGTTTTGATGAAATACTTCGGTTTTATTGGTAGCGTTGTGTGTTCCTCGCACTAGACAGTTGAATTTAAGTCATTTTTAAACTCGGCGGCGTTATTCGTTTTTGCAGTGGGGTTATGGAATTGGGAGTGCGAGACCATCAAGAACAGATTGGAGGTATAGGCCATACTAGGGAGCGTGGTTTTGATGGTGTCGTCTCTGCGTCACACATCAGCTCTTTCCACAATTACTGATGCTGCTCTTTCTACCATCGGCTTTGCATTAACTCTTCTGTAATCGATAAAAACAGTTCGTCGTTATGTTGGTAACTTATTCAGTGAACAGTAATGGAACTGGTTATGAAAAAACGGATTGGCGGCTGTATCATTAATCTGCAGGCATGTCTACTGTTATATGTTCTACTATTAGTACGTACGCCTCTAGCTTGCTTCACGCTATGAGTTGTTCATCCTGGGTGGTTCTGCTTTGCTGATTGCGGAATGAATCGACATGCTCATAGGGAAAACCATGTCTCTCTCCGGTTGACTCTTAAATTTTATTGAAGTATGTAGAGGAATATTAAATATGTAAAATTGAAGTTTCCCAGCATCTGAGTTCAAAATATAAGTAACTTAGTATTTGTAAAAAAATTTCTTTTTTTTGCATTTATTAACATGGATTCTCATATTTGTGAATTTATGATTTTTACTCATTATAAATTATAATTACGGGTAAAGAGGGAGGAGAATAATATGTATTTTCATAAAAATAAAGTTTTTATTTGTGTACGGACTATCGTTGGTAGCTTGTGAATAGTGGGAGCCTGAATTTCAGGGCTTAAAATCTGTGTCGCACCCTTATTCAAAAACCAGAGAATCAATCCATGTTGAAAACCTCAATTTTCACTGGTCACATTATTTGCAAGTTCTGCATTGGATGGCTGACTTATAAACGTGGTATAATGCATGGATGCATATTTAATTTAGCGTGCATGTTTGACAATTTGTGACCAGATACTATTCATAAGTGAACAGTGATATATATTTGAAATTTCATGCAATGTAAGGATGCATATTATTATGAACTTCATATGAAATTTCTAACAAACCTGCTTCAAGTTTTGTAACCCAAAAAATGAGGTGCAGATGGTAGGGATGTGTACTAGGACAGAATTTCCACTGAAAAAGGTACTAAATTGGTATAAACAACTCAAGTTCTTAATATGGTAGATGACGGAATGGAACTGGTTGATCATCAAAATTACTAGTTGATTGCATCGTCAAAATTTCTTTAAAGAAATTGTGTCCTCTTAATTAGGTCTTAAGATTCCTAATTCCTCTTTAAAGATTGCTGGAGAATGATCGTCGTGAATTTTAAGATTCTGTATAGTTATTTTGTTTTTTCAGACCTCTTAAAATTTGGTTTTAGTTTCTAATTTGGCTCTCCTTCGTTTGCTGTGCTGTGGAATGTTAGTCTGTTTTTATTAATTGAAACTCGTTTTTCTGTTGAGAGGGGAAAAAAAAAACAGTCAAATTACTATCATGCTTAAGCGTCATGCCATGATGGACTTGTGGGATGATATCCTCGAAGTGTTTAAAGTTTGGGAGACTTTTGGTCTGTGAAAAAGATGAGGAAAAAAAGTGAAGATGGCTGGGTAAATTTGCCAACATTAATGCAAGTAACATTTTGAGCAGACTGGGCTCCATAATTTGACGATTGAGCTAACCAATAATGGAACCATGCTCTGCGTGAAATTATTATTCACCTGGGCTACCATGCCTGCTTGTAAGTTATCTCCTTTGCTGCAGGACTGACCCTAAATCACCCAATAATGTTGTGCATCGCAGCACAGACATTCTCTGAAAAACTCAGATCGCTCATCTTCTGAACTCAACCCATTCTGTACCCACTTCTTCACCCGGCAAATCTCTCCAGTTACAGAAACCTAGAGCCTACCATTTGGTCACGCATGTCATTTCAGAATTGAAAGCCGTTCATGAATCCATTCTCTAAAGCATAGAGAGGACAGAAACACAAGTTTGCTTACTAGCTTCTTCGCACTTTAATTTCAGCCATTTGAAGAGAAATGGACAAGGGTGATGTTTGTTTTTGAACAGTCAATTAGAGAGGCCCCATGATAGTCACGACTCAATTGTATGTTGATGAACCAATAATTGTAGGTTCTTTCAAAGGATGATGACAAGCCACATACCAAAATGGCAGGGAGGGAGATTAATGACCCTAAAGTGGACCCTACAATAATGCAAAGCAGGAAACGGACATTCAGAAACTGAAGTGAACAAACACTGTTGATCTTTCAAGTTGGTGCGGGCAACTCCAAAACCAAACGGTGTTTGCCTCCCGTTGCGGGACAGAAAGTGGGTGCTGTACTATGATTATGAGTTAATAAATAAATACCCTTTAATGTTATTTTGCAAAAAATATCTGCTTCTTTTTATAATAATGCCTTATAGTGAACACTTTTCATTTATTGAAGGGTAATTTTGTAACAAAATAATAAGTATTTTTTTTAAAAAATTAAAGTGACAATTTATTTTAATATGGTTATATGAATACATCAAATTCAAGGATCATCAGATTCAGTTAATTGTAGCTCTCTCAAAATTATTTTTTGGATTTATACAAATTCAAACATAACATGTTGCGTCTTAGCAGTCAATGTGGCAGCCGCTAGTAAGGTAACAATTATTTTGGAAAGAGAAATTTGTTTGTGGGTACAATATGTCAGTGGTACATTTAAAGAGCATGAAAGCAGGTGGAGCCCAGAGAGGAGGAAGGCCATAACATGGAGAAATAAGTGAGGGGGAGGGGCCCATGCCATGGCCATCTGAGGAAGAATGAGACAGGAAGCAACAGGCGGTGCCGGAGGGAACGCAAATGCCTATAAATTTGACCCCAACATCGTCAACGGTGTGCCAGTGACCGTTGCCGGTGGAATTTCTCAGCCCCATACCATATGTCTCTTGCCTTTTATTTTCCTTCTCTTCTTCTTTTTCGGGTTAAGTTTTATTGCCATATTTGAAACTAATCACTAATTAATATATCCGTATTCAACAGTAGTCACGTTAACGCTGATTTTTTTTTATATTTAAAATCTTTAAGAAAGCATGACTTGTATTTATTTGAACAAAAAATAAATAAGGTGTTTGTAACATTTTATATGGAGACCTGCTATCAATGAGAATGATCCACCTACATTGATGTTCATAGGACCTGCGACATAGACCCCGCCAGAGATCCAACTCAGGCTTTTCCGATCTGCGTTCGTGCCACTTGTTCTCTCCTCAATGAACCTGCTTTTCATTCAAACTAGCCCCCCTTTCTCTCTGAAAGATAATGGTCCTCCTGCTGTTTTTTTCCTTATAAAACACGTCCTAAAAAATTTTCTTCATCGTTCTTATAAATTACGCTTTTTTATTTTTATAATTTTTGGTGTACAATTTTTAAAAAATACCCTTCAAAAAATTTTAAAAAAGAAATATATTATTTTAATTTTTTTAAAAAATCTTTCCACACACTAAATTACTTTTCTTAAATGTTGGGACAAATTTGTATATAGTAGTTTATTTTTAAGATAATTTCATTATTTTAACTAACTTACTTTGAATTTGGTGAGCCAGTTAAAAGTGATTTATAAAAAAAAAAAGAAAAAAGTACATGTATAAGAAATTTAATTAAATTACAAAGCTAACCCCTCTAGATTTCCTCCTTACTATTCTAGTCTTGTTAATAAAGTAGAAAGAGAATAAAAAATTTAGTTTTATTTATAAGGTATTTGTCAATTTTTAATACTCATTTTTATATTTTTATTCTTATCAAATACTTTGAATGAAAATATTAGTAATGAAATTTAAGAATATTTATTATGGATAAAAGTAAAAACTTATTAAATTTTAATACAAAGTTAATAAATTTTAAGTTTTTTTTTAAATTTTGACAAAACATGTTAAAAGTTATTCATAAATGAGGTTGGAGTATAAAATTGTGAATAATAAAAAATGACCTCCTTGAGAAAGTATTTTGATGAAGAGCCTCAAGTGACAAGTGTTTGAAACGGTGGGTGTGTGAATGGGCAGAAGAGACAATTCAAAAAGAATGCCTCCTCATGAGCGCACCAATGCGACGCTCCATCACATGCTCTCAGTCAGTCAATCCCATTCTTATCTTCGTTGTCTTGGATCATTGCCTCCTTGTATCACCTGTATATTGCGAGCGTTGAATGAGCCAATTAAATTGCATTCAAAATTTAAATATCTAGTTTGCAACTTAGGACGGGCTAGAGGACCGTTTCTTTAAACATTGCGATATGCTTTACTTTCAAATCAAACATTGAGTTTTCAGAATTCTTTATCAAATCTTCCTCAAATCCAAGTGATTAAAAATAAAGAAAATTTGAAAATAAAGATGGAAAAAATGTGAGGCTTAAATGGTGAGAATATACATGATGCTAATAATGATAAGAAAAGATATCATGAGAAATATAAGATAAAAGACTAAAAGAAAAGTATAGAGTGTTGCTACTATTCTACTAGGAGGTTGTTGTTATGTCTTATATCGATAGGGTTTGGAGAGAATTCTAAGTATATAAATGAATATGTTGTATACTTCACTAAACTAGCTTTTTAAAAAGAAAGTAATGAACTCATAAGAAAGTAATATTAGAGCCAGACTAGATGTCCCTTAGATAGGGAAGCTATTACGTCCTACATGAGAAAGATTTGAGGAGAGTTTTAAATACTCCCTTTGATTTTATTTATAAAGTAGAGAGAAAATAATTTTTTTTATCTTATTTATAAGTCACATCATTAATTTTTCATCACAAATTTTCTTTTTTACTTTCCATTAAATGTTAGAGAGAAAAAATATGTTATTGAAGTATGTATATTAAATAGGGGCAAAGTTAAAAATTTATCAAATTTTAAAATAGAGTTAATGAGTTTTAAAGTTTTCTTGATACTGATAACATATGTTAAAAGTGACTTATAAATAGGATTAGAGAAATATATAAGCAGGTGCATTGCATACTCTACTAAAGTAACTTTTTAGGAAGAGAATAATATTCCCATAACATTATACTCTACTAGTTGCTAGAGAATTTACTATTCTTTGTTCAATGTGTGCTGCTCAAAGAAACTACGTTGAATTTGTTGAGAGAGTTAGTTTAACCAAACCAAAAGTTGAATTGATTTTGAGTTTTTTTGAAATTGGTTAGAGTTGAAGTTGTTCAAGAGATTGGAGAGTTCAAATGAGTGGCTTGCTTTTCCTTTGCACAAAGTGATAGTTTTTCCCATAATTTTATACTCCACATTTATAGAGTTATTATCTATAGTATTTCCTAAATTCTATCACTTTTTTCTTCTATTAGAGAGGTGTGTTATTTGATCAAGTCCTTTTACAACTTTTTTTTTTTTAGCGAAACAATCATCTCCTTTCTAAAAGACTTAAATGAACATGGGCTAAAATTATTATTTTTTTAAATAATTGGATCTGAGGCCTAATTTAGATTTTAACACAAACAGTTTCAATTAATATTTTTAATTATGTTTTAAAAAAATATGTAAAATATGGATCTTGTAGCATGATTAAGCATCCGGAAATGTGAAATGATTAAACCGAGAAACTTCCTTGTACGGAACCGTTTGGCCCCCTCATCACATCACATGTCATGTTCTTTCCTCTCGCTGCCTTCCAAACATTTTTTAAATTATTACATTTAAATTTAAATCAATGTATGCTGGTAAAATAAAATAAAATCAAATCAATGTATTATTTTTCATACACCTTAAGCAATTATAACCCTGTTTATTAGGACTAATATTTATTAGTTAAATCAATGTCATATAATTCTTTGTTAAATATGAGGATTCTTTATTTTATGTAGCTTCATATTTAAAAAGAGACTGAACTTTTGAAAAAGATATTCTGATTTTTGTTACAAAATTTGAAAAACGCGATTTAACGTTTAATTTACACTTTATCTTTAATTATTTATGGTTTTCTTTCTATTTTCTTGAAATAAATTATCTACATTTATTTCTATCTTATCCAAATGAATAATCGAAATACATGTGATTGATGTTTCTATTTCAGGGGAATCGATCACCCAATTATCATGAGTTCACGGCCCCTGAGTAAATGAAGTATCCATTCTTCATGGCTTTTATTTTTAAATAAAAATAGTCCAATTCCTTCCAAATCATTTAATACTGAAAATGAAATCAAATAAAGAATAAAAAATTGTACTTTAAACGAAAATGACCCATTCAACCCTCAAGAATAATAGAAAATTTCTATTATGATTTTAATAAAATTTCTTTCTCTAAAACGAAGCTGGCTTTCGTTGCCTTACTAAAGGAATGAATTAAAATAATTTTTCCCAAATTGATAGAAAAATGGAAAATCTATAAATATTTATTTTCTAAAAAAGATCACTATCCATTTCCTCGTCTCCTATACATTTCCTCCTTCGTCTATCCGTCTCTACATCAGTTATCAGTGATCACTATGATTTATTCGAAGGTTTTTCAACTCTTTCTTTTAACGCCAGCGGAGAGAAATCATTTTCCACTTTTATATAAAAAAACGAAATTCATTTTTCTCGTTGCAGCAAAATAGGCTCTTTGAGTTTTATATCTTCCCCTGGCTCTGGCTACTTTAAACGACATCATCTTCAAACGATTTTCATTTTAGTTAAATAACGTAGCCAGCAAAACGACAGCAACATCGGCTTTATATTGGCGCCTCTTTGAAAATTACTATAAGATACCTTCGGCAGATAAATTAAATTAAAAAATGATACAAAAGATACCACATGTGCACACGTGCACTGCTGAATTTTTAAACGATGCAGATAAAAATTGCCCATCTGATTTCCTGTACAAACAAACAATATAAAAGCTATTTTGTTTATATATGATAATCATTTAATTATGAACCCTTTGATCTATATTCCACTTTGTTCTGTAACCGTACAATACAATAACTTTTTCCGTTCACCTTTCCCAATTCTTCATTAGCTGTTTACAATACAAACCCCAACGCCTTTGCCAAAATTAAAATTCAATTTTTTTTTTTTTTTTTGCTTTTCACTGAACAAAGAGAATGAAATTAGAAATGTTCATGAACCGGAAACTGACTCTGCCAGTTTCCCAATCCTCTCCACCAATTCAGGCGATAACTTCTTAACCGGTTTCCGTTCCTTTTCCCGTCGAAAGTCGAATCCTAAAGCGTCCGACACCTCTTCGGAGCTCCACCCGGCTTTACGCAGTGAGTCCGAAAACCGATCCGCCTTTAGCAGCAGAGCATCCAGTACCGCTTGATTGTCCAGCATCACCATCTCTCCTTCGAAGAACCCGGACGCAGTTACCTCCACGATCTCGGACACATCCGACTCGCTCCACCCCCCTTCTCTCAAGACCGACCCGATTTGCTCTATGTATTCTTCCACCCATTTCGGTATTACGGACCGAGGCATCTCGAAAAATCTCTCCGGCGAAGAAGTCGAAGACGACGACGAGTTCCTACGCCGCCGATCAACAGCGGCATCGCTCCAGAACTCGACCCACCTCGGTGTTCTCCCTCCTGCGACGATTCCTGTGTCTAAGCTTCTCCTCGAGAAGTTAGTCGACGAACCCGCGGATTTCTCACTAACGGATCTCTGCTTCTTCAAAAGAAGATCGGATTCGGAGCTCTGGAAAAGAGACTCGCGATCGAAGAAATCCGATAGATCCAAACCGCAACAAAAGATCCTATTCTCGTCCACGAAGAATATAGGATTCCCGGCTAGGGAAGGATTACAAGGAATGTAACAATGGTTGAAGATGGGAATCAAAAGAGGAGCTCGCTTGAGCGCATTCCTAGCGACTCGTAATGCCTTTTCCGGTTCACACGGCCTCGGACCCCAGGACTTGGACCAGAAAGTATTCCTAGCAATTTGAAAACAAATCGCAGCGATTGGTAAATCCAGCGAGGCACGAAGGTGGAGTCGAGCTCCAGCGGAGCGCCAGTCGGGGAATCCAGGGCCAACGGGAAGGCCGGCGGTGAGAACGGCTCGAAGGTCCGGCGGGAATGCGAAGCCGAACTCAGCCTCGGCTCGAGCGAACTCCGAGTCGGAAAGACCAGGTTGAACCTGTATGCCAGAGTTGCGGAGGTGGCTTATGACTTTATCAGCCAGAGAAGAGAACGACAGAAGGCCGTTACGTGCAGGGAGGGAGGAGGCGGTGGTAGGAACTGACGCGGCACGGGCAGAGAGTCGGCGGAGGCCGGCGATATGAGCCGGGTTGAGACCGGTCATCCTCCGGTCGACGTCGACCATTGTAATCTAAAGCGATAGGCGATCTGCTTTTTGCTTCGAAATTGATCTGGTTCAGACGTCGTATCTTCCGCGTGTACTGGAGTTATAGTTTTGGCAGTTTTCTGCTTTGAGTTAGAGAATCAAAATGAGAAAGATGGTGGGAGAGAGGCAAATGAGAGAAAAGCTTAGAACTTGGAGGTAGTGGAGTGCTTTTTCGCAGGAGACTTTAGCATGTGGAGAAAGCTTGGTCATTTATAACTGGCCTTAGGCCCCACTTCACAATTTTCGTATGTATGTTAATCATAATCCCAGTCCCCTTAATAGCCTTGTCTCTGTTTATTTAGGATTCTCCAAATCAATACAGTGAGGTGAAATACTTCAAAAAGCATATTTTTTTTTAAAAAATACTTGTTTTAAAAAATAATAAATAATTAGTGTATACTTGTAAGAAATAATTAATTAATTATTTTTTACAATTATCTGATTGTGTAACATTTGAATATTGTCGCATCCAAGTGGTGTTCTGCAGGCACTAACTGTTGTTTTTAAGAGGAGTATTTAATTTAATAATAATTGAAAATGTGTTATTTTAAAAGATCGGTGAAATAGGGGAAGGCATGAGCTGGGGAGCAACGGCAGAGATAGAGGGGACAGGTGTGAGCATTGGGAGTTGTTATTTTGTTGGGAGGCTGTCCCTTTATCAACGGGACTTCACAATTCACGCTGTGCTAATTCTACAATGCATTAATCCGGTCCCTTAATTAATCCGAAAACACTAATCACAGAGCTGAACAGCAAAGCAAGAAAATGTGTCTAGCATGATGTGGTGTGTTTGGAGCGAGGAAAGCAACGAAATGATGGATTTGTTTGGGGAGTGAGTAAGTTATAAATGAAAGGAAAGGGGAAGCAAATTAAAGAACAACACAATGATAATATCACATTGGTGTTGTACTCTTAACGTTAACCTGTCCCCTGTCTTTCTTTCCGCATCTTTCTTAAGGAACATGACCCTAAAGCTAATCATCTAATCATTGGCCACTGCCCATTTGCTTAACCAGCACTGCCTCTCCAATACAACCCATTCTTAAATACCCTCTCTCTTCACCATTATAAATCACTTTTAAATAATTTTATTAAATTGCATTAGTATCATATTAATGATATTTCTTTGTGGATAGGGGTAAATTTAGGGGGAAATATTTGACAATCATTCTTACTATATTGTAAGATGTGACTCACATGTTGGACGGAGGAAGTCTATGTTTCAATTTCCATGTATGTGGACTCATTATCTGTGAAAATTACAAGCACCAGTCGCCAGAAACAATAATGAAAAAGGCATTATATTAATTAAAGGCTTGTGATTCAATCTCTTCACAAGAAGGGTTGCTTTCAGAAGCTGCTTCTCCACTCAATTTCCACCACCCCACTTAAAAGCACCTGTGACCTGTATCCCTCATACCCACCGCTTTCTCATCAAACCTTCCTTATCCCCCCGTTATTTTCCCCCCTAATTTGAGTATTTTCTGGCATATTTTGCGTGACCTCTCTGGTATCCTAAAAATTTGACTCAAATTAATCATAGTTTGTGGGTATCTATTTGGCAAGCATACTTTCTATCAAAAATTTGATCGCCACTGTATATCCAGAATCAAACTCAAAATCTTTAATTAATTTAAACCAATCTCTTAATTAGTTGATCTAAATGTCCAATGACAATTATTTTCATGTTCATTGTTATTACTATATAAATTTTTTTCTTTTTAAAATATGGCACTTTCATACGTTTTTAAGACGGCAATATTATAACAGTCATGTGGGCTCACATTTTTTCCTGAATTATTTTGAGCTTAAATTTTTTAATCGCATGATTCCAACTACATTTATGTAATGTTATATATATATATATATATATAATATTAAAAAATTTCAAAAATTATCGATTTCTCAAATTGAATTTCGCATCACAACGAAGAAAAGATCCCGCAAGTCAGTAAACAAAGGGCAAAACAAAAGAAATGATAGCATGAAAGTTTCTCACCGATCTTATCAGCTCTAAAATTCTTTTAATTTGGACACACATTGTCAAATTAAAGTCTAGTCTTGAAAAAGCATGCAAGTGAAATCATGTAAATGAAGGCAAGTACTAATTAAGATTAGGGGAATCCTAGAAAGTACTTTGAGTGAAACGAGGATTTGGCGCCGATTAGAGAAAAGGCACCCTAATTATTCTATTACGAGTTAGAAAGCCGGCACAACAGTCACAAGCTTTTGTAACAGTTAATTTTGTTATATCTTTCTTAACGTCTCTTCTTAGCCTTTTTGGATTCACGTACATGGTTGCTTTCTACTCTGCTCCAAGAAATTGTGTGTATGTTTATAACACTTGACGGTGGCTACTTTTGATTTATGTCCAAAACCATTACTTCATTGTTCTTTTTAAGGTTGTTCCCATCATCAAAACCTCGATTTGACCATATCAAGTCGATCGTACGTAAGTAACGGGCCTGTCCACTTCTCAAGCATGTGTTGGTTTATGTGTAATATATAGCTCATGCCATGGATCTCAATCAAGCAAGTATTTTAGATCTTCTCATCCCAAATGAGTATCCTCAGCTATGGGATACATTAATGTTTGAAAATTTACGCTTGATAATAAGTTAAAAGACGATTTTATAAATATGCATTTCAATCATTTTTTACAGTCATATGAATGATTGAATTACAATATAAGAAATCGTGTTAAAAGGTAGCGCTATATGATTTGGCATTTTACTCTCTCTCTCTATCTTGTATTAACAATTTTTATAACATAATGTGAGACGCTTATTTAATAAGAATTAGGATATTCATGCGTTCCGGGTCTCTCCACATGTAACTGGTTAATACGTTTAATTTGCTTATTATTATTATTTTTTTGGCTTCAAATTAACCTCAAGCCTATCAGCCCTTGATCGAGAAATATATTCTCCTTAAATAAAGTAACCTTTCTTCCCCCCATGATCATTCAATATTATTTATATATTTTATTTATATAAAGATGTCAAATCGCATGGCAACGGTCACTTTCTGAGCACAAGCACGTGACCAATCACCGCTACTCTGCCAAACGGCATTATATTATATTATATTACTAGTGGTACAAGTTACTCAGAGATTTTCACGGAAAATCGGTGAGGTGGTATTAATAGTAAAGCTTGACTTATGGACTCGGATGCCATGTGATGATGAGCTAAAAGTTTGGTTCTTTTTTTGGTTTGGATGAAATAAGATGAGGCGAATTGAATTAGTAATAATTAATATAAGTGACGCCAATTTGTGGTGTCAAGTTGGAATGGGTCAACGGCCTTGCTTGGATGGAGTATGAATGCAATTAAGAAGGTTTTAACAGTTGGAAGGAGAACTTCTCGGTGGATTAATAACATAATAAATGGTATCTGCACAGAATCAAGTTACCTCATTAGGTAAACCATGCACTTGTAAAGCAGCTTCGTTTGGAAGCAACTTGAAGAGCACTCAGAGCCACTCACTCGGAGTCTTGTGTGAAGAATCTGACTTTGTTCAACTTTTAGGGAGTTCGCATGGCCCATATTTTCACACTGCTTTTTCCACAACACCCGTTTCTGTTTTTGTTTTCTTATATCCTCTGTTTTCTTCCCAGGTAGACTTTTTCATCGTCTTTATTATATATATATATATATATATATATTCAATTTAACTAAGTCCTCACCTTTCTTCTTCGGCATCCATACACAACTTTCAAACATTTGATTAAAACTGATAGGGCCCTACCTCTTTGTGGGGACCTCAATGCAAGAAATATGCAACATTAATACAGTTATAAGTAGGTAAAAAAAAATTTTTTTCTGCAAAGCAAATGAGAAATACACAGGACATGTTTGGTTTTATTCCATTTTTTGTTTTTTAAAAACTATTTTGTAAACCAATTTTAAATTTTTTTTTTAAAAAAGAATCCATTTGATTATGTTAATTTTTTAAAAAATAAAGTTAAAAAATTAATGGATAGTAGTAGTGGCAATTGGTTAATGGTAATGACCTATAATAATGCTTGACTATATTTGAAGATAGTTTATAATAGTCAAATATAATGCAGTTTAAAAAAAATTAGTTCTGAAATGTTTCTATCTTTCATGTTTAAAAAGCTAAAAAATGTAAAATTTTTTGAAAGCATCTAAATATAAAATACTTATCTAGACAAATTTTTTATGTTTTGTTTTTAAAAACATAAAATAGTTTTTAAATGCAGAAATCAAACAAGTCCATAATATACAAATTTCTAATTTCTTTTTTTTTAAAATACATTTTCATGTACCAAATATGCATGGAGTAAATTTATCCACGATGGATATAATTAAGGCTCCTATTATTGTTGGATAGGATTGATGTGAAACAAGTTGTGTGGTCTTATTATTGATGTAAGTAACCTGGCACATAAAGGATTTGGAATTTGCGAGGATAAGATCTGTAGGGCATTTAGGGGAAGTATATGGAGCAAGAAGTATGGGCAGTAACCACATGGGAAGCTACACAAATGAAGAAATGTTGGAGGAAATGTTTATGAGAAGGAAGAGAAACTTCGTTGTACATGAGAGTTTTGTTTGGCATGCACTGTGTGGGGGTCCATGTCAACCAAGAGAATCGTCTCAATCGATCTTGTTTCCAAACGCAGCTCATGGGCTACGTCGCTTTCTTGTCTTTCTCTCAGACCTACTCGTTGATTTTCATTCTTCTTAATCACCCATTTTGTCAACAAATGAATCCTCTAATTTGTCATTTACGTTCCAAAACGTCCCCTCAGTCTATTATGTTTCATCGCAAGCACTTCTTGACGCCAATCAAGTGAATCCAGATACCTGTCTTCCGACACAGCTGGGACTGTCTTCCAATAAATTTAAACTACCAACATTGTGTTTCAACTAAATAATAATCAAGTTATAAATTTACGTTATTGTAATATTGATATTCCCGTTGGGACTGTATGTGAATAATTTTTATTAATGAAGACCAGAATAAACTTGGAGACATAGTCTTCTTTCTGATCCTAATTATAGGGCAGGGATAGAATAATTTTTTTAATCCTATTTATAAGTTATGTCATTAAATTTTTATCATAATTTTTTTTTATTCTCCATTGAATATTGGAGAGAGACAATTATTATTGAAGCATGTATATTTAATAAGGATAAAATTGAGAACTTATTAAATTTTAAAATAGAATTAATGAATTTTA